GCTAAGAACAGGGGAAAGGAGACACCTGAAGCGTCTTGCGTCTCCCACCTGTTCTCTCTGCTGCTGCTGCTGCTGCTGCTGCTGCTGCTGCTGCTGCTGCTGAGCTCTTCGTCGCCTTCAAGGATAGTCTCCCACTGCAGCGCAGCAGGGCAGTCTTCCCAGGGCCCCGATGCTGCTACCTCGGTGCAGCAAACTCTGCTGCGGAGGTGTCTGCATAGCAGCAGCAGCAGCCGCTGCAGTTGCTGCAGCCAGCACAGCTTGCGGCTGTCTTGAGGGGAATCCCCAGACACCAACTGCTGCTGCTGCTGCTGCTGCTCCTGCTGCTCCTGCTGCTCCTGCTGCTGCTGGCGGTTAGCTAGCCACTGGCGCTGCAGCAAGAGGTAGCGTTGTGTGTCTCTGTAGAGGAGATAGCGGCGTGCTGCTGGCAGCAGCAGCAGCAGCAGCCGCTGCTTCAAGCCTTCAAGGACAAGGCCCTGGGGAAGGTGTGGGGTGTCATGCAAAGGGGACCCGAGTGGGATCGTCTCCAAAGACGATCCCGCTCCCGACAGAGGCGGAAGCGGCGCAGCAGTTAGCTGCAGCAAACAGGCGGAGCTGAGGGGCCCCACACCCAGCTGTTGCTGCAGCAGCTGCAGCCACTGCTGCAGCACCTGCTGCTGCTGTTGCTGCTGCTGCTGGTGTTGCCGCCGAAGCAGCAGAGCCTCGCAAGCTGCACATAAACTGTCTCCTTCTTCTCTGCTGCAGTCTGCTGCAGCAGCAGCAGCAGCAAACTCCCCCCAGCTGCATGCAGCTTCACAGCACCACACCACGGAGAGACAGCTAGAGGCTTCTGTCTCCTCTGTCTCCTGCCAGCGGCTGGCCCAGCTGTTTCCTCCCTGTCGTCGCCGCCGCCCTGCTGCTGCTGCTCCTGTTGTTGTTGTTGCTGCTGCTGCTGCTGCTGCACCAGCCTGCAGCAGCTCCCACACCTTGAAGTCCCTCGGCGTCAGCCGCAGCCACATGGGGGTGCTTGCTGGAAGCAGCTGCAGCTGCAGCAGGCCTCTACATCCTGCAGCAGCAGCGGCAGCAGCAGCACTACGCCCTTGAGGAGAGACAGCAGCAGAAGGAGACAGCTGGATGCAAGGCACCACAGGAAGACCTCCGATTAATGCAAGCAGACGGCTGCCGCTGCTGCTGCTGCAGCGCTGCTGGAGGTGCAGCAACAGCGCAACCACCTGCAGCAGCGGCTCACTCTCGCGGCCCTTCACAGGGGACGCTGCTGCTGCTGCTGCTGCTGCTGCAGCTGTCTCCTCAACAGCAGCAGAGGAAGACGAGGGGCTGCAGCTGCCGTCTGCTGCAGCAGCGTACCGCCGCAGCTTTCGGGGCCTTCCCAACAGCGCATGCATGCAAGCAGCAGCCAGTCCTCCTGCTGCTGCTGCTGCAGTAGCAGTTGCTGCTGCAGTTGCTGCTGCTGCTGCTGCAGACGTGGTGCCCTCCTTAGCGCTGCTTAGCCGCTCCAGGGCCCCCACACAATCAGCAAGAGACGGGAACTCTTCAACCCTCAACTCCTGCAGCAAGAATGTCTCCAACTCAGCAAGCTGCTGCTGCTGCTGCTGCTGCTGCTGCTGCTGCTGCTGCTGTGGGGAGCGGGGCTGCATGCGCAGCTCGCGGTGTCTGTACAGCAGCAGTGCGATGTCTTCTAAAGGCCAGCAGCCAGGGAAAGCAGCGCGGGGGGCCCCCAGCGGCAAGCGGAAGACTGCAGCAGATGGCGGCCTCCAGCAGATGCAGCAGCCTAGAGTAACCCCTGCAGCAGCAGCAGCAGCTGCTGCTGCTGCTGCGGCGGCGGCCGGCTGTGGATATTCGAGAGACATAGCTGTTGCTGCTGGGTGCGGCAGCAGCAGAACCCCCTCGGATGCGAAGACACTCCAGAGGCTCGACTGCTGCGCTGCTGCTGCGGCTGCTGCCGCTCCAGCTGCTGCTGCTGCTGCTGCTGCTGCTGGATGCCGCCTGTGGGCGAGGTACTGCAGCAAACTGAAGAAATCCTCAACTACTGCGCTGCAGCAGCAGCAAAATAAGGAGACAGTGCGGCCCCCCACATGCTGACACAGGCAGCCGCAGTTGATAGGCCCCTCGCTGCAGTTGCTGCTGCTGCTGCTGCTGCAACAGCAGCGTCCTTCCCTGCAAGTAGCATCGGCTGCTGCTAAGAAGCAAACCGCGAGGGAGACAGCCGCACCGGGGCTTGAGAGGGTCCCACCCGATCCACAAACATTCTTGCTGCTGCTGCTGCTGCTGCTGCTGCTGATGCCATGTGGGGTTCCGGCCAGTGGGCTCCCTACCCGCTGCAAATGAGCAGCTAGAGACAGCAGCAAGCTTGTTGCTGCTGCTTCTCCCGGCACTCGGTGAAGGCCTTCTGGCACCTCCCTTATGCATGCACTGTCTCCTGCTGCTGCTGCTGCTGCTGCTGCTGCTGCTGCTCTTGCTGCCTTGGCGGGTGTTCGGCGTTCCTCGATCCACTGCGCTGCACGAG